GTTTCGCCAGTTGGCTGGTGTCAATGCTCTCACAGTGTCGTCGTGGGCATCCGCCAAAACGCATCTGCATGTTAGCACATACAAGTACATGGTCGGTATCCACACATGCGCTGCAAATCGAACGACAGTTTTGGACGCAGTCTCTCAAGCGGTAACTGATCACAATGTGATCAATTTGCGTCCAATTCTGGTGGGCACCAAGTCAACCTTCTGCAAGTGCTGTGTCGGAAGTTACTGCTCGCAAGAAATAAGCGAACATCTTCACACAAATGAAGTAACCGGTCACCGTTATCATTACAGGAGCCTACACCATTTGGACCGCCCAGATGTAGCTCAACAGTGGACGATTTTCCAACTTGAGCGTTTAGATCCCAAGCCAACACTACAGTGTCTGTGCTATTTCTGTGACGGCGGATCTCTTGCGGTTGGCGACAGAAGTTGTCATTTACCGAGTCATTGCGGTACAGTTTTTTGGGACGTAAGCAGCGATGACGAATAGACACCTATAATTCCCGCGTGACTCCGAGGCATTGAACGGGCCAACCAGTCGGACCGCACATATCCAGCTACTGATTGTGCTTCAATCAATCAGAACAGATTCAACCCGGGGACTCAGGGCAATACAAACACCGGCTTAGTCGGCACTCGAGGCCGCATCGTCTCCGGATAGGCACAATGAGAAAGCACTGCTAGTGCCAACTGAAGGGGATCGCAACGCGAACAAAGAGGTCGAGTCCTGCAGACGGGTTTCCGATAAACAGCTGATATCTATCGACTGGGTCTCTAATGTTCTGGCAAGTGCTGCCTGTTGACCGATCTGTAACAGTGTGTGCATGTTGAGGTATGTCAACCTGAGGGAGGATCGAGGGCTCCAAATAGAACTCGATGAACTGGGTTTGACCGTTTGGTTGGACAGGGCTTTTCGACGGGACCACTCTCACTCCAACCACCAACCTGGGGGATCAGGAGGCTGAGGTTGTGTGCCCTCTAACCATGTATCAATCTGACATGAGTGCTTTGGAACATGCGAAAAGCAACACTAAGAACAGACCAATGCATCAATGAGGAACGCAAACTATCGCAAAACGGTAAGGTCCAGCATCATTGCGACCATGCATAAATTGCTTCACTAACAGTTGCTGTCTTGACGCGTCGTCCGAGTTAGGCTGCGCACGGTCCAACAAGTCAAGGAGGTGAGAAGCGAAGCCGGACGGGTCCGGTTCCATTCCAAGCCTTTCCGCCATGGATCGCCGCATCACATCCTGGTGGTATGCCAGGCTGTCGAACCCCGCAATCAATGCCTCTTTGGCGACGATCCATTCTAACTTAACTGGCCTGTTCACGTCGGCTCCAGAACCGCCTTCGAGCTGCCTTTGACACGGCTCTGAAGGCTAAACAGCTTCGCTCGTTTCTGCTTCACTTCGATCACCTCCGCGACATCTTCGAAGTACCCCAGAAACTTCCGCACGTCCCCATCCTTAAATGGCTCGGGCCAAAGGATCTTCATGTTTCACCTCCGGCTGGTCACAGCACCAAACGCAGTGCGGCGCAGAAGAGTTGTGTGCTGGGGAGCCCCTGTCTAGATAATATAAATCTATAAACATAGAAATTCGGGTTCATTTGCGCAATTCTGTTGTGGTAACTCTTTGACTCTCCGTTCTGCCACGCCCTTTATTCAAAACGTATCGGTGGAGATTGATTTGCGAACAATACGTCTTTTGTCCGGTTGATCTGAGCACCGATCATTGGTAGTGCACCACAAACCTACTTTAACCTGCGACCTATTACCGCAGATAGAGTAATGACGAGCGATTTCACCTTAGAATTGAATCCCAGAAGGATCAATCCCGGTGTTTTCAAATAAAACTATTAACACCCATTAATCGACAGCTGGTAGACGAGGACTCTGAATGTCACGATTTCAGGAGGAAGACCGTGAGCGGTTTGTACTACTGTTGCCCACGAACCAGTATTTATGGTTTACAGCATAGGCGTCCATATAATAGGTTGGAAGTACAGCAAGTTATGAGGCTAAACAGAGAGAGTCAAGTATAAGCTAGCGGTTTAAGAAGGTACTATAGCAATTATCCGCCGACACACTGGGGTGAATGTGCTTATGAGAACATGCGCTGTTGATGGAGTCTTCTGTAGTCACACATTTCTGAAGGTTAAAATTCACGAGTTTCACAGGCAACTGACTGGGAGCAGTGTTGGCAGACATTTCACAATGTGACGAAACGTCGAAGGTTAAAGTAGGTAGGTGACCGACGGAGCCAACGACACGGTGATTACCGAGACCATCGATCCGCTGTACCCAGATGCCAGTGAGTTAAGGGGGACGCAAATCGGTGCTAGCTAAACTACTCGCTTGCTGCACCCAGCGCATACATAACAGATCAGCTAAGTCTTTACCACAGTTTGGCCGGCACATGCTCGGTACTCCCTTTAGCAGAGTAACAAACCCACCCTACCGATAGATAGTAACTGAAGCCTAAATTCCACAAATGACCAGAGCAAATATTTTGCACATTAATCTTAGTCCGAGTATTAGCTGGAACTTCCATGCTACCCCGGGAATCCTGTTGACTATGCTTGATCATTGATGGTGAATTAGCGCCTTGAACGCTAGAGTTCGCCACATGTACTACGAATGCTGCAATCTTACCTGAAACCGCTGCGCCAATGGTCGCACTGTTGTCGTCAAACCAATCGGACCGCTTACAGTTTGCACGCCCGATCATATTCTCGGCCGCAGCAGCCACCTGTACACAGAGATGGTGCCACAGTTCACGCACCGTCGTTATGCATTTGACATCGCCCGGGCGGGTAGCCATCGCCTTCTCCAGTTCCGACCGCTTCTCAATAGTGCCAATTAAAAGAACTCCACGCTTGCGCCGGCAAATGTCATGAGATCAATATTTAGATATATGACAATATATTTACAATTTGGTCCGCATCAATTTATATAGTGTCACACTCAACTACAAGCAGTACACGTGCTATCTGCACTTCACGTATTTCAAGCAGGTGTAAGATGACATAATCAAGCAGGTGAGCGTGACCACTTCATGGGTGCGTCCAAGTAGCTATATCACTCGCATCCAGTGCAAACTGTGTTCGTAATCGTCAGGCCGTGAGTTGCATATAGTGAGCAGCCGATCACCGTTACCCTTGGCTGTATCAATACCGTGCGGACCGTTGAAGTCTGTGTACGCCGCGACATCAGGTCCAACACGCGCATCGAAGTCACCCAGTAGGCATAATCAGTTGTTCCTCGACACGGACCATATCACGTAGGAAAACTGGGTGTCATAAGAATAACACATGTTGGGACCATAAATGCTAATAAAAGTTGCAAATTACAAGTTCCAGGTAGCAGGCGAAGAGTCATTAGTCGTGCGCTGATACCGGAAAACACTGCCGCCAGCTAGCTATTTAGGCGGTCAGACAGTGCAAATTCGACCCATTGTTCACGTGGTGCTGCGGTGGCGTTCCCCACCCGGTAGAACGTGTAATCGGCACCAGATTCTCTGCTCAGCGAACCGTCTCGCTGTGTGCGGCAGTGTCGATTCCGTAGCGCGCAAGTTCAATAGTGACTGGTGCCGCGTGTCGCTCGGGACGCTTACCCGTGTTCTGATTGAGTAGTAGGTGCACGTTCCAGTGCCTGATATTGAGCGCTTTGCGCGAAGGCATGCAACTCCGATGGCGGGCAATCGTATGGGGTGATGACCTTGACTAGAGGAAGTAGTGGGTTAAGTGAAACGGGGACGGGGAGAGTAGGTGCGGAGGAAGTAAGAAGAAGGGAGGCATCAACGGTAGCATGTTTTCGCTCATTCACCTCGCCGGATGCAGTAGACAAGGCGGCCCTTTTCTTAGTGACACTGCATGACGGCCGATGCAGCATGGTATGATTATTATTGGCGTGATTCATGGTGTTGGTTTGGAATAGGATAATTAGAGGCGCCCATATCTGTCTAAAAGAATGATTCGGGTCCTCAGACAGTCTTCGATAAAATGTACACCCGAAAGGCAGCTGGCCGACTCACGCGGAATTGTGTCCTGGCTTTTAGCTAGAAAATGGATGTAACCTAAATCCCACCCAGTGGTCGCCACTTAGGAGGCGTCCAGGACATGAGTCTACGGCACAACATTGGGCGCAGTCGACGATCTGTCAGGATCTAGGCACCACAAGCCTCAGCGCACTATGGACTGTCTTGCCCATTTAAGCACGGTATAGGTTTGAGTGTAGACAGAATGACTGAAATCACTACAGAAAAAGGAAGTAAAGTGTGGTATGGAATGGAAGTGCTTTGGAATCGGGGTAAATGGAAGCAGAACAATGGTGCTCAGCGCTGATGATGGGCTAAAACATCGAGTGTGCAACTTCACTCATTGTATTCGAGGAAAGAGGTAATGCAGAAGGTAAATTTTAACGACGGTACGCATTTGTCCAGTCAGTCGGGATGGGTTCCATACAAAGCTGGCACTAGACCCTCTGTTGATTAGCCTGATGAATGCGTTCCACATCGTTCGTAAGACGTATGTGTCGAATAGATCTTATGGAGCCAAGCTGTGCACGAGAAAGTACGAAGGCATCATAATTTAGGAACCAAACAACTAGCGTAGGCCACCCAATGATTAGTGGGCATGGGAAGCAATTGGCGCATACAGATATAAGGAATGTGCTGACTGCTTGATGCGCAGGCAAGTACTGTCTGTAGCCCATTCCACGTCAGCAACACCACGCACAATCTTGTGATGCTCTCCGTAGCTGTTAAGTCCATTCGTGAGTAAGCAGGAATGAATCTCAGTGGCGCGGCGAACACGAAGTCCACGTGACTTGTGTAAACAATGACAGAAGCATAGGTCGTTAAGAAGTCACGCAAAAGCTGTGAAAGTGTCACAATTCCGTTCCAGCACAGCTTATGAAACATTCTGGTATAAACCAAAATTTTCTCGCTTCGACTCGAATAATCAAAACGTTCTTTCATTTGCTACAGATTTCGCTGTTTCTCGCGGTGGTTCCTATAAGCTACGCAGCGTCCTTCCTCATGAACCTGACAATAGAATTACCTTTTATGAACCTGGAGAAGCGCTTATTGCAAACGGTAGCTACATCCAATCCTTCATGAACACGCCCCATTTTGCTGATCCCCGCAAATGAATTTGAGCTACACAGTGATGATACGTACTGTCTCGATTACATGTTTGGTTTTGTTTTTAAATAAAGCATTACAAATTGTTTCACACACATTAAATCTGTAAATCGTCTATCTGATGAGGGAATCCTCATCGTCCATAAACTATGCTGGAAAGAAGATGATGAGTATTTGATCTTCCAACTTATGTGTGGCTACTGTCAAAAATAAGCACGTTGTTCGCAACCTGCAGCCAGATCAAAATGTAAGAGGCAATGACTTCGATAAAAGCGTGTTCAACGGAACAGCTGACAAAACGCGGTAAACAGTAGAAACAGGCTGAGAGGATAGCAGTATTCATTGGTCATCATGAAAACCTTCAGTATAGAGAATAGTGAGGTCGTTTGCTGAAATTAGTAGAACAAAGACGAATCAGGCAGTCTAGAAATACAAAGAGGAGGGGTCAAATGACGCACATGGTTTGCTGGAAGTTGCGAATGAATCCCAGTCATCATGAGCGTTTTATTGTATACATAAATGGTTTGTCAGGGATAAGTTCACATTCACCAGCATAATGAGATGGATGAAGTTGAATTCCATTCTGCTTCCCAAATGAGAAAGAGAGCACCGTAAAGGCATGTGAAAATTGATGTATGTTCCAACAGTGTCTATCAGTGAATTGGTAATCACAGGTAAAAAGAATCAGCAAAAGTTGAGTGTATGCGGGCCAAAACAAAAGAGCACAATAACTTTCAACTTATGGGCGCACATCATTGTCACTGCAATATGATGGGATCTTCAGATAACAAGCAATGGCCACATACTAAAGTATGCATCATTCGTTGGCTTTAGTGACCAATTTTTGTAAATGCTGGTTCGGTAGAGTAATGGGGAAGTATAGTGAACAGAATTGATTCAGTGAAGGGAAGGTGCTTGGGCATAGTGGGCAACGCGACAGTGGATAGGGAGTGCGGTATCGTGTCTATTTCTTCTCGTTATTTAGCACAAGTAGAAGTGTCATAAAGATGTACGTTATTTAGAGGAAGTTTTACATGCGTGGGAAAGAGCTGTGGATAAGTTGGAAACTCACTCAGTCACATCAATTCGCGAGCGGAACAAATTATGTTGCAAGCCGGATAATAGGTATTTCATCAAAGATAACGCACATATAAGAAAAAGTATAAATTTGTGAGGTAATCCACTGTTACCAACATCCACTGTCAGATAAGTGATCGCACAGATTCAAGAAGACGCTGAACAATCGGTGTTTCGTAAGGTATAGTTCAAGTCACTTTACGGATTACGGATGCGTACTGGATGCACCAAATCTGAATTGGCACCGCCTGACAACTTTGCCCATCAGTACGAGATTCACCTGGTCTCCACTACAAGATTAAAGATTCCTCATTATCACTAACTATACCGTGAGGTGGTGCCAGGTGAACGATATCAAGGCGGTGGTGGGAGGCGCTAATCAAGTTCATCTTCAGGGAGATCTCGGTACAACTCATTGAGACAGCTATCACCACTTCGGAGAGGCACAGGACTTTCGTATGTTCATGTTGTGCATCATCGTCCTCGAAACCCAAAGGGGAAATGACATTACATCTGATCAGGTCAACTTATAGCATCTGTTGACCAGTGCACTAGTGCATGAATTTGAGTCTATTCCGTGCTCGTTTATGTGGTGTATAGCGCTGAAAGGCTATTGATATTACTTTGCTATGATTACGCAGTCAAGTCAGTTGTCATCAACCGTCATTGCGTAGAGCCAACAAAAACTGTCTCCCCAAGGAAACGCCTCAGTTACGAATACTAGGGGGCTCGAGGACATTACAGTTGAATGAATTGAACATGATCTCTCAATGTCATATTTTAGTAAACATCAGAATGAGTATAACAATTAAGACAACACTCTGACACGATAAAGTTCTCCCTGCCCATGAGAAACCACGAGGACTCATTCGATGAGATAAAGGGCTAGACAAGACGTCGTAAACCAGAAGCCTGTGTGACAACGCATAGTTCATGGTAAACTGCTCCGCTGGCCCGAAAGATTAAATAGTGCCGTTAGAGAAGGGCACAAGTTTGAATAACGGGATACTAAACGAAGAACAATCCATATAGGCAGAAAGAACTTATCCAGTCTAGCAGAGTACATCAGAAACCACAAGACAATAAGTGAATTGCCCTTGCGCCACCACTGCGATTATCTGGAGATCTGGTTATTGAAGTGTGGCGCTCACCCGATGAGTTATCTGTACAATGGAGGAATCAACAGCACGTGATGAACCTAGCCGTATGGTATCGTGCAGCACCCGAGATACCTAGTAACCTCAGAGCAAAAACATGTTTGCGTCGCTGCGTGCCCCAAATCTACACCTCTGTACTTTGTGTGCGTAACATGTTACAACGAATTAATGCATTAGTGACATAAACAGCAATGGTTCGTTAAAGACACGGACAACCTCAACACTGGATTAGTCATTGTGATAATTTTACCACCGGTGATCTTGGTACGAGACTCTTGAGAACCACAGCGGATAGGGCCACGCTCAACAGGCAAGTAATTCTAAGCCATATCTAGTGGAGTGTATAGCGGTGCACCTCGATCGATGTCGCTTGCTAGACAACTGTCGGCCAATAAGCGCGCAAATCATTATCGCGCAGTTTTATGCCAACTTAGTGGATCCGACTCCGAAACCTAAAGCTTGATGAGGAGACTGTTTTGACACATAGCAGTGTTGCATACTATTTACAGGAAAATAGTATTAGAGGCTAAAACAACCCCATCTAAATAAATGCAGAGGATCGATGTGTTCACGTAAACTTAAGGTGCGTCAAAGATTGAAGGAGCACACAGAGTTCTGCGCGTCTGCCCAATCCTAATGATAATACAGTTTATTTGAGTTCGCTACGAAGAGGAGTTTGGCGAATGTCGCAAACCGTTTAATACACTGCCAAAATCGCTGACATGACAGGTGGTAAGCAAGATGTTTGGCTAGTAGAAGTCAATGGCATTACCCGGCCAGCTGCCTGAACAGAAAGAGCATCTACCCAAGAAGTGCTGTGAAAATGGGTAGCGATCGTTAGATGCATTAAAATGTTAAAAACGCAAGGCTGAGAATGTGAAACTGTATTTGGCGCTATATAGAAATCATGTGAGAGGAGAAAGTCAAATGAAAAAATGTGGTTAAAATGATAGGTCAGATCACATATGAAAATAAGTCAAGATGCAAATGCAAGTCATTACAAGGAAAAAGGGTTACATAGAACCATGGTCGCTTTGTGTCCACTCGAAGTTAGCGTGTCCGAACCAAACGCTCAATCGTGATCAAGGGAAACTCAGTGAGTATAGTGAGAGGGACAGCCAGACCGTAGCTGATTGTGAGCACAGCGAGGAAAATCACAGTCTAGGGTGAAGAGAAGAGAAGCGGGGGTTCGAATAGGATGACGATAAACTGGGACACTAGGGTTAAGAACAAATTCAGGACTAAATTGACCTAATGGGCTAAATGATATCAGGTGGGTCAATCATAGAGAAGGGGGTGAGGCTGAAGAGATAACAATCCGAAACGACCTCAACACAAATTATTGGAGTAGGACGTAGCGAACAAGCTTGCTTTCAGTGGATCATCATCAGGCTAGTACAACCACAACTATGTCGGTCCAAAATGAACACGAGAATCACAGGCGTCAATAAATCAAATATCTCATCAATAAGGCTATGTGATTAGCCCGACCTGTGTGGAGTCGGGGGGAAAGACGTGATATGTCTGCTTACTTAGTCTTGGGCCATTGTAGACAGAGGGTCTGCACAAAATTCTTCTGTGCACACAACTCCGGGTTATGGAGCCGAATTGCGATTGCCTCTGCTTAGACAGCAGACGGCATCTAACAGATCTCGTGCGTTGTCCTGGCACACAGTAGATCCGTTGGAATGAATCTTTTGTGTTGATTTTGGGGTTGATATCCACTAAGTGTGACAATACTTACTGACCCACGTGCGATCAATGATGATCGACCCGGTTTGGTGCCTATCTCGGTTGAACGATAGTTACGCAGATCCAGATGTTCACAATACTAGCGCACGAACAGGGTGAGTGCAGCGACGAGACTGGACCTTAACGTGGTGCGATGGTTTGTGTGCCTCAGCGATCCATTGAGCTATGCTGGGTGGTGCTTTTTTGCACCTTCAGATCCACATACCAGATTGGTCAATGGGTCGAGGCCTGATAAACTCAGTTTCCTGGCCCTCCAGGTTGGGTGTTGGAGTGAGGGTGGCTCCTTACTGCATAAAACGGGCTCTCTGTAGTCCAGTTCCAAAACCCCGCTGCCTTGCGGTAAGGTTTTTGAACCAAAGGCTTTGGTTGAGAACCCTAATCGTTCTCCTGTCTAGACCTGGGCAACCTGACAATATTCCGCCCACGCAATACAATGAACCTTTCTTCTAACAATTTCTTGATGCTAAAACCGTCGCAGAGAACAAGCAACGGCGCCCAATCTGCTGCAGTGAGCAGGGTGGATAGGGCTATGGATGCTACTGCTCAGGCCTTCCTGTCTTCTTATCCCTCTGCTTGCGCTTTTTCATCATTATCGTCCCGCTCCAACTTTGCTTTTATGCCCCCATTTTCAATTCCCCACTTATTGGCTCTTCTCCGCCTTGCCTGAATAGTCACTTGTCTTCTAGTTTCAAATCACACACATCCCAGCGCATCGCTCCAATCCAGTTGACAAGTCCATGTTCACTCAAGTGGACAACGTCAGTTCATCCGTTTTCCTTTGGAGCCCTCGATCCCCGCTAAGACTGGCATGTTTTAATGTGCGCACTTTGCTACAGCTTCGCCAAGAGGTAGCACTTGCCTGCACACTAGAGACCCTATCGATCGATATTTGCTGTTTAACAGAAACTCGCCTGCAAGATTCGAGCTCCGTGCCTACTGTGCGATCCTCTTCAGGTGACACCAGCAGTACATTCTCATTGTGCCTATCCGGTGACGATGCAGCTTCCAGCACCGGACAACCTGGTGTTGGCATCGCCCTGAGTCCACGGGCTGAAGCTGCTCTGATTGACTGCATCCCAGTCAGTAGCCGGATGTGTGCGGTCCGATTGGCTGGCTCGTTCAAAGCTTCGAAGTTGCGCCGGGAGTACTAGGTGTCCATTCGTCGTCGCTACCTACACGCCCAAGAAATGTAGCGATGATTCCTTTAAAAAAATACGGCTTCTACCGCCAACTTACCGAGCTCCTTCGCCGCAGAAGAAGCACGGACACTGTTGTGCTGGCGGGGGATCTGAACGCACAAGTTGGAAAGTTGTCCACTGATGAAATCCATCTGGGCGGTCAGCAAGGTGTAGGCCGCCGTAATGACAACGGTGAGCGGTTACTTCATTTGTGTGAAGATGCCCGCTCATTCCTTGCGAGCGCTAACTTCCGACACAGCACCCGCCGGAGGGTGACATGGCGCCCAACAGCCTCAAATCAGCCTTGGACGCAGATCCATCACATTTGGATCAGTTACCGCTGGAAAGGCTACATCCAGGACTGCCGCTCGACTTGGAGCACATGTGTGGACACTAATCATTCACTTGTATGCGCTAATCTGCGGATGCGTTTTGGCGGACGACACGACGACGCTGTGAACGCATGGACAACAGCCAACTGACAAAGCCAGCTGTTCTGTATGCCTATCCAAGTACGCTGACATGCGAGTTGAGTAAGCGCACACTGGAGACAATTAATGGTCACTGGTCACATGTTCGCCAGACCTTACTAGCAGCAGGAAAATCCTCATGTGGTAAGTCTAATCGCCAACATGGACATTGGGTCTCTTCGCAGTCTCTAGAACTTATCGATGCTCGCCGGCTTATTCCAACTGGAAGAGAACACAATGAAACTCGCAAAGAGCTCTGGGCAAACCTCCGTGCTAGCCTGAAGAGAGATCGCGAATCCTGGTGGATTCTTCGTGCGTCAGAGATAGAAGTAACCGCTGCCCTTGGCAACCCTCGAAAGTTATTCCGTCTAATACGGGAAACGGGCAGCAGGAGACCTGGTGTTTGTGAAACTATCCGTGACGAGAGTTGACAGCCCATCTACAACTTGTCAAAACGTTTAGAACGTTGCGCTGAGCATTTTGAAAAGCAATCTAATCGACCAGAATTGTTCGATTCCTCTACGGCCAGTGATCACCCTGCTCCGTGGGCTGCGCATTGGATCCGCCCTCTCGCTCAGAAGTCAGACGTGAGATCCGACTGTTGAAGTTGAACAAACCCGCGGGACCAGATGTCCTTCCTTCAGCCCTCTGCAAATTCGGCGTACCTGCTCTTGTGGATGAGTTACATGAATTACTAGTGAAACTGTGGGAGTAGAAAACTGTCTCAATCGACTGAAGGCGCTCCGTTATTGTTCCCACATTCAAAGAAGGCTCGCGCTTGAAATGCGGCAACCATAGAGGAACCAATGCGATTTCAACCGCCTCCAAGTTGCTTGCTTCTGTAATCCTTCACAGACTGACTGGCGCTCGTGAAAGCCAGATTCGTGAGGAGCAAGCCGGGTTTCGTCGAGGTCGTGGCTGCATTGACCACATCTACACTTTGCGTCAGTTGTTGGAACACCGTCACATATATTGGCGGCCCACCATTGTCGTGTTCCTCGACATCAAAGGTATCTTCGATTCAGTTGATCGATGTGCCCTTTGGAACTGCCTACACAGTAAAGGTGTGCCCGAGAAATATGCGAATATAATCCGAGCATTATATGCGCGTAGATCTGGCAGAGTGAGGGCTTACGGCATGCTGTCGCCGCCCTTCAATATCTCCAGCGGTGTGAGACAAGGATGCCCGCGGTCACCTTTCCTCTTCAACTTCGCTATTGACGAAGCCATGCAAATCGCGTTCACAGGGTACGACTTAGAATGTGTGGATCTACTCCCAGGAGAACGACTTCTTGATTTAGAGTATGCAGACGACATTGCCCTCATCTGTGACAGCCCCCAGACATGCTAAGCTGCACTAGACAGGTTAGCGCTCGCTGTCAGCCACTTCGGGTTTTGCTTTGCACCATCGAAATGCAAAGCGTTCCTCCAAGATTGGCAAGGATTGCCTCCTGCGCTGACCCTTGGTAAGGATAAGCTAGAAGTCGTTCAGAAATTCAACTACCTAGGAGGTTGTATCAGCGCACATTGGATCGAAGACGAGATCACGAACCGCATAGTAAAAGCTCAAAGTGCTTTTGCTAACCTTCGCCACTTATGGCGCCGGCGCGACATCACTCTGGCTCTGAAGAGTAGAGTGTACAATGCAGCGGTACGTTCGACCCTACTGTACGGTTGCGAAACCCGGTCCCTTAGATGAGCAAACATAAAGAGGCTAGTTACGTTCGACCACCGGTGCCTTCGCAGTTTGGCTCACATCTGGTGGGAACAGCGGGTGAGCAAAGAGCGTGTTTCACACCATGTTTATGGAAAAGGAAAAGGAAATGAACCGCAGGGCGCCGTCAATTTACGCACCAGGCTCCGATGGCTCGGCCACGTGTTGCGCATACCAACCCACCGACTCCCGCGACTTGCGTTGGTTGCTCACCAGGGGAGTGGATGGAAGAAGAGGGGTGGCCAAGCGATGACTTGGTCGAGAGCAATGAAGGCCCTCTCTTCGGAGCTGGTCTCGTTTGGAGCTTCAGGGCTCCCTGGTTGGGGCCCAAAAGAAGATGAACATGTTTGATTGCATACACTTGCTAACATGCCTAGGAGCCGACCTCAGTGGCGTTCCTGCTGTGAGTTACTTTGTCTCTCCCCATCCCTTTTAGCCTCCCCTCCAGCCACGACCTTATTTCGTAACATAATATAAGTTTACATCATAAGTTTTCTTATTGCCTAGTATCCGGCTGCTAGCTTTCAGGAAGGATGCCTATCCGTTGCTGGTAGCTCAGTTGGCATGCAACTGCTGTACTTATTTTCTTTTTATTTTACGTATTGAGGCGCAGTAGCTGAGGGGCTTTACACCTCTAGCTAACGTGTATAAGGATGATGATGATGGTACCACTGGAGAGGCTGTGTCCAAAACTGTCGCTCGATTTGGAGCCCCAGTGTAGACTCTGACGACGCACTAGTCTGTGCCACCCTCCGGGTTCGTTTCGGTTGACGTCCGCAACGTCGATGTGAACGAATTTACACCAGCCAGCTGGCGAAGCCAGGTGTTCCGAATGTGTATCAAAGTGCGCTGACATCCGGGATGAAAAAGCGTCCACCGAACACCGTCGAAGATCATTGGCCGCATATTCGTCAAATGTTACTATGAGCATGAATACCTTCATGTGGCAAATGAAACAGCCAAACTGGACATTGGGTCTTTACACAGTTCCTGGAACTTATGGATGCTTGCCAACGTTTTCCGGCTGGAAGCGAATACAATGAGATACGCAAAAATCTCAGGGCAAGAATGCGTGCTAGCCTGAAAAAAGACTGCGAAGTCTGATGGTCTCATCGTGCAGCCGAAATGGAAACAGCCGCTGCCGTTGGTAATCATCGTAAATTATCCCGTCTGATACGGGAAACAGGCAGCAGGAGACGTGGTGTAAGTGAGACAATGTGCGACGAGAGTGAGCAGCCGATCCACAGCTTGCCAAACTGCTTGGAGCGTTGGGCCGAACACTTTGCAAGGTAGTGCAACCAATCTCAGTTATCGCTTCCTCTTTCGGGCATTGAGTGCCCTTCTCCAAAGGCCGTCTCCTTAAATCGGTCCTCACGCGCAGAAGTCGAATGTGAGATCAGGCTGTTGAAATTGCATAAGGCCGCTGGTGCAGATAGAATTCCCTCACCTCTTTATACATCCGACGGACTTCCTCTTGCAGATGATTTACACGAGTTGCTAATGGAACATTGGGAGCAGGAGACTGTCCCGAAAGACTGGAGCCGCTCCGTCATAGTCCCAATTTTCAAGAGAGGCTCCCGTTCGGAATGCGGCAACCATAGTGGGATCAGTCTGATCTCAAATGCCTCTAAATTACTTGCCTCTGTCGTTCTCCACAGACGGATTGGCGTTCGTGAAGGCCAGATCCGCGACGAGAAAGCAGGGTTTCGTCGGAATCGAGGCTGCATCGACCACATCATCACTTGCATCAATTGTTGGAGCATCGCCATGTTTATTGACGACCTACTGTTGTCGTGCTTCATGACATAAAAGGTGCCTTCGACTCAGTCGATCGAAGTGCCCTTTGGGACTGTCTACTGAGGAAAGGTGTGCCCGACAAATATGTAAACATTATCAAAGCGTTGTACACGCATAGTTCGGGCAGAGTTAGTGTTTATGGCAAACTGTCGCCGCGCTGCAATATCTGCAGCGGCGTAAAACAAGGTTGCCCGCTGTCACCTTACATCTTTAACTTCTCTATTGATGAAGTCATGGAAACAGCATTCGCTGGACACCACAAAGGTGTGGAGCTACTTCCTGGTCAGCGACTTCTTGAATTGAAGTAGACGGACGATATTGCCCTCATCTATGACAGCTCCCAAACATGCCAAGCGGCACTGGAACGATTAGCACTGCCTGTCAATCGTTTTGGGATATGCTTTGCTCCATCGAAATGCAAAGCAGTTCTCCAAGATTGGCAGGGACCCGCCCCTGCAATGAGCCTTGGTGGTGATCAGCTAGAAGTCGTTCAGGAATTTAAGTACCTGGGCAGCTATATTAGCGCCCGTGGGGTAAAGCTGAGATTACGAACCATGTAGCAAAAGCTCGAGGTGTTTTTGCCAATCTCCGCCACCTGTGGCACAGACGCGACATTACTCTCGCCCTGAAGGGCAGAGTGTATAATGCAGCAATCCGTTCAACTCACCTACATGATTTTGAAATCTGCCCCATCAGGTCGACAGACAAAAAGAGACTCGTCATATTCGATTATCACTGCCTTTGCAGCTTAGTTCATGTCTGGTGGGAGCACTGCGTGAGCAATGAGCGTGTTCGGCGTCGCGTATTTGGTGCAGGAAGAGCGAGTGAACTGCTTAGCACCATTATATCACGCACCAGGCTCCGATGGCTGGGCCACGTGTTGCGTATGCCACCACACCGACTCCGGCGACGTGCATTGTTTGCGCGTTGTAGGTGCGGTTGGAAGAGGAGGACAGGAGGCCAAGCGATGACTTGGTCGAGAGAAATGAAAACCCTCACTTCAAAGTTGGTGTCGGTTGGTGCATCGCGACTGCCTGGCTGGGGTCGTAATGACAATGAACGCGTTTGGTTGGACACACTTGCAGATATGGCTAGGAGCCGGCCCCAATGGCGTTTGTGTTGTAATTTCCTTTGTCCATCCGCTCCTGCTTAGCCTCCCCCTCCAATCACGATCTCATTCACTAGGCATAATATAACTTGCTTTTTACGGCACGATGGCCGCTGTTAGCTCTCCGGAACTATGTCCATCCGTTACTGGGGACTCATCCGGCGTGCCACTGTTGTGTATTTCTTCTTGTCTTTCAGATTGCGGCACAATAGCTGGTGTTTTCCACCTGCAGCTAACGTGTATAATGATGATGATGATGATCAGTGCAGCTTCACCAAAAGCTGAGCAACAAGTTATCGATGAAACAGCAGTCTTTGAGAAGCAAGAATGCCGCAGGAGGGCAAATGCAATGAGTGGGTTTGTTAACGTATAGAAAAGAGGTCATCCTCTGGGAAGATAGCTTCCCCTAGGTGGAGCATGTTAGCAATGGTCCCGGGTGCATTTCGACGAAAGACTACGCTTGATGCTAGGAATCTCAAAGATTTCACACTCCTATGATCACTGCTTTGTTCCGAGTGATAACGATGACAAGAAGGACTGTTCCACTTTTTCATTGCTCGCAATACAGACAATATGGATATGAGGGTCTAACATGAGACACATCACAAAAAATACAGATCGAAAGCTACCATCAACAGCTGTTCACATGCGATTCACAGAGAGCTCACACATGTGTGACAATAATAGCAATGCCAGAATAAGAGCTGTTAAACTCGGAGGTGGCGGAATGAGACAAGCGCTTAGGAGGTGGACTCACCAGTGTCAGGTCACTGAGAATAATGGGAGCCGGTTGACTAAAAGCGTAGAAGTAGATGACGATGGGGTGAAGTAAATACGCGCAGTAGGTCAGTCTCGCAGGAATTCGAAAAAGCTTGGCACTGAGAAATGTGTTGAATACGTCTATGAAAAACAAGAGAAATTTGTCAAGAAAAAACCGGAGATGTGTGTGCGATACAGTGACGAATGATGGACAGTGTCATTTTCATTACGCATTGATCCGGATGTATAAGATCATTCTCATGACATGTCAAATCGTGAGCAGCAGTGTTAATCGGACTGCCCGGAGACGTATGAGGAGCACTACCAAGGAAAGTCAGTCAACGGCTATCGTCAATGCAAGCGGAAACGGTGCAGGCATGTAGCGCTCGGATGATGGCCAGCTGGTTGCTAGCTTTTAGACTACTTGTGCGGCTAAGTGAGTACTCAATAGGAGGAGAACGAGTGAATCTACATCGCGGAAGAAGGCATAAAATTGTCCCACGTGTTTGTAGGCAAAAGCAGTATCAAATATTGACTACCTCGAAGCTAGGTGTACTGCAAGGTCGTCAAGATGGGAGTAGCGTGAATCGACTGCACAAGAGATGTGCTAAATTGTCGTCAACAGAAATGAGATAACGGAACAGTTTAACATATGAGCTTTCATTTAGCTCAGCATGTAAGGTAATCCGAGTGTCCACTGCAGTTATGTCCCGTTCAGCTCAAGGGACTGTGAAGATGGTAAACATCGCAGCTGCACAGTTAGGAACAAACACGAAACAACACAATCACTGTCACAAGGCCAAGAAAAAAGCCACGTGTCCCCACGTCATTGCAGCTTCGAAGACGCTGAATGTTTGGAAATGGAATAGCACAGTCGTGCGTGCTTCTACCCATATCAAAGAAATGACACTCAACAATTTGTCCATAACATAGCCATTGCGGAGAGAGAACAGCAAAAAAGAACAAGAGCTTAGTGGCATAAACATAAGTACATTCATATACGCACCGGAAAGAGAAGCAATATGTGCCCTGACGTGCCGATTACAATCAATGCGGTTCAGTTCAAGAATACATCGCAAGAGCAGCCCACGAAACCGTCAAGGATGCTAACGACAACGATATCCAAACGAATGCGTGAGTGTTTTGCTAGCCGCGTACATTAATGCTCTTGAATGCAAACGTAATCAAAAAGCTGATCAATGCTTTAACTCAGCGGGAATCTACTTGTTACTTAAGAAAATGCTGGCTGGACGTCATGCGCCAAGCAAATTCAGTGGGTAACGGTGAATTCAGAATTCATTGGACGCCAAACACCGCCGATGATATAAAGTCGCCATGCATTGGACAATTTGGCTCCATAACAAATCATGTCGGATGTATTCGCCAATGAGTGACCATTCGAACAGACATCAGAACAAACGGAATAATCAAGACGTAACTCGAAAATAGGGGAACAAGGAAACCAACATATCCTCGAAGCCTCTTGGCTTCCGGCTTCTATAAAACACGAAACACAACCTATAAATTGGAGCAGTGGCGCTGCGTTCGTGATATCTTGTCTAACGATGATGTCATCGTACAATCGTCGACGAAAATTTCAGTGTCATTTGACAGCTGAAGATAGGGTTAGAAAGTAAAAAAGCAAAAGTAATAAAGACCCAAACGCTCACTGAGATAAAGAGAACAGCATACGCAGAAGCATTATGCAAACGTGCAACATGGCCGAAACAAACGACCAAGAACCCACTGCCGGCTGACTAACCACCAGTGTGAACTCTACATCTACTAACTCGTTCCTAAGATACGGGGAGCCAACCAAATGTCATCATTAACAGCAGTACATCAGCAGTTTGAACTGATGTATGCCAGTCGCAAACCCACAACCACCTACGGAACGAAGAACAATAAAAGCGAGAGGAGGTAGTTAATGGAAAACCTTAAAGTCCTAAACAAACAGTCAGGATCAAGAGGGCTACACCTTGTCAACAACATGCCATCACAAACAGCTGGCTATCGCACAAAGATAAGCCGGCATCAGCGAGAAAACTGCCTTGCGGCTTGCACAGCCCCGCGTACTAATTAGCCGTTACTCCAGAGATAAATGAACAATAAACACATTGAACAAGAAGTCCGACTAGGAGACGACAGAATACACGCCACTGGTGTTGACTGTGAGCCATGTCATGTAGTGTCTCCAGCCAAGCACAAGGCGAGTCACATGGACTCCAGCCCGGAAGGCGAGACGGACCAACCGAAGCAACAGCTTGATCGTCATCGACTTCATTTTCCCCTGCCAAGTCAACATTTTTCCACCACGAGTCTCGCAGCACCCAACATCTGCCAGACAAAACAAGCCCACCCTAGGTAACCGGACATAGGTAGTACGTGCCCAAGCTAACAAAACTTATTCAGTGCCACCTGTTGCTCTACGGTGAGACGGAAGTTAGACCGCAAATTTCTCCTGCATCGGTGTATAATCAGGATAAGGTTTTGTTACACCTAGGTCCCACGTTTAATTGTGCTGCAATGTTAAGGTGGATCGATTGCAATGCGTATTGCCATGAATCAGATTGTACAGCGGTGTCATCTTTTAGTATTCGCAGCTTAAGCGGCTCGAGATGGAGTTGCTGGCATCACTTCCGATAGTTTACGATAGACAATTTTCCCGTATGGGCTTAGTAAACGACCGTTGAAGGCTTTCTATCGATTCTCTGTCTGATTTTCTCATATATCCATAAATTATGTTGCGATACTCCAGGATGGGACGATTAAGGATTTTAAATAGTTCAACTGTAACTGTGATTGTATCCTTTTGCTGAAATATGCTAGCCAATGAGTCTGGTTCGTGCTATTTGGTACTCAATCTGTGCAGAGAAGTTGAAGGTACAAGAATAGCGGATTCCGAGGTCACGAGTACACCGTCGCACACAGATGCTTTCGCTGTTACGTGTGATGGATACTTCGGGTATCAAACAACCGCGACATAATATACTTGGCTTTTGTGCTTAGAACATCATCATCCACTTGTCGCACCAAATCTCAAGCGAAACAATGTCTTCTGGAATGAGTGGTAGTACATTCGAAAGCTCAACTCGTCGGTACTTGAAAACAATTTTTATATCATCGGCAAATAAAAACGGCACGCCATGCTTGTTAACCAAACTGATGTCATTGATACAAAATAGGCAAATTAATGTACCGAGCACACATCTTTGTTTTACCCCGCTGGTAATTGGACCCGGGAAGAGCAATGGTCGCCTAAGGTGACTATCTCAACGCGACCTTTCATGTATGATGATAGCCAACCCATTTATGTGTTCCGGACTTCAAGGAAGCGATCTTACTCGGTAAGCGTTTGTGAGGTACCCGGTCGAATCTCTTCTGCATATCCTAGCATAGAATTAACATCGCATATTTTGAGTCAGTGGAGTCTTGTATGTAGTTCAGATGATGCAGCCACCAGAATGTGTACGATCGCTAGTCAAGGGAACCATGTTAGGACCTATCTATCAGCTTCAGTGAGTTGATGAACTAGATCACACGCTTCTTTACCAATTTTTTTGAATAATCTGTCTATTAAAGGAGTGTTATGACTTGGCCTGTAATTGCCAATCTCCTGTTTTGCGCAGCCCATTTGGCGAGGGCTGATAAATGAAGTTTTCCATTGATCTGAAAAGCGCTTGGATCCAGTGAAATGGCAAACATATGCAAAAGGAGCAGTGACATATCAGGCCCTCCCAGTTTCATGGCCGATTGGGGGATGCCATCAGCTTCCAGAATGGAGGACGATTGAATGGAATGTATTGCTTAGTAGAGATTGCGGAGAGCAATAGCACTTTGGGTGGAGCCTTTGTGTATTAATAGCGTTAGTCAGAAGGTCCATGTAGGTGGAGAAGAACGAGGTACATGCTGCACAGATGGCGCCTGGATGTCGTCCACCAGTTCGGTGATCAATGAAAAGGGTTTGTTGGTTCTTCGACGGAGAAATCTGACCAACTCTTTTGCTTTACATGTCATTCGTAGGGTTGCTTGCTCTTCATGTCCTCCCCATCAATTGGAAATGTTTCATTTCAGAGATGCATCGGTACATCTGTAGTATCACTGTAAAATATTCTGTGCTTTTATAGCGCGCGATCGGTTTGCTGGATTTCTGACTGATCGAGCATTCGGCTGCATCATTTTAAGCGTCACTGATTCGTTTTTCTTGTGCATAAAGGAGGGTTACGGTTTGCCGAACCTAATGATAGAAGTGCCCCACGGCTGTGCAGGCATTGTTGGAGAGAAAGAAGACATCCAAATCAGAGGACCGAATTATTTGATGGAAGGGTTCCCAATTACTCCTGTGGATGGTGTAGTAGGAAGGAGCTACCTGTTTGGTGGCCATTTTAACGGTGAAGATTAAGAGTTTCATGTTGCGGTCGCTACGACGGAGATTCTCTAAAATGTCTCTGTGTAGGTTGGCCGTACCCAAAGGAAACCTCACGTATAATGTGTTCGTCAACCTAGTTGGCATAGTAACCCACTGTGTCCAACCACCAACTCTGACGGAATAAATGAAGGCTCTGTGTATGGACGAGGAGGTCGGGGAAGACCAGTGTATCCTCGGTATGTTGAAATCACCTGCAATTGCTCTTTGTTTGTGTGGAAATTCCAATGCAAAATCGAAAGCTGAAGTGATACGGACAACATTCGTGGTTGATGAATTTGGCGGTTTGCGGATACATCCAAGTAAACCGAGGCTCCCGAGACGGAGAACCATAGGGATCCAGGGACATTTGTTAGTTGTGGATGTTAAAGCCGTTCAGCTGCAAATGGGAGATGGTGGCATTCTCCACCATTTCTTTCACAACGATCTTTATGAAAAGGTGCGAATTGGTGAACTTTGGAGTACGGTCTAATGTGTCAGAGGAGCACCACGTGTCGGTAACGAGAATTGCTTGCAGCTCGTTGAAAGGTGCAGGTATGCTTAAGAAAAACCGATTGCTGGTAATCCATCTGGCGTTAATAAAAAGTACAGAAAACATACCATAAATGG